GCAGCTCATCCTGAGTGATCCCCAGCACATACCAGGCTCAGCACCAAGGATAAGCGCCTCACATGCATTATCTCAAGAATGAACTCAACACACTCTGCCATCTTTACTTTATGTTTGTTCCCCCGGGTAGAGTTCTCAAGTCCTGAACCAGGCCCTAAACATAGAAACTTAGATCCCGAAGGCCAAATATGTGGTTTTGTTGTTGTTGTTGTTGTTTTTTGTTTATCCTCACCCGAGGACATTTTTCCATTTTTTGTTCAGAGAGAGTGGGAGGGAGAGAGAGGAAGAGAGAGAGAGAGAAACATCGATGTGAAGGGACACATCGAGTGGCTGCCACCCTCACGACCAACCAGGGCTGGGGACAAACTGCAACCGAGGTACACGCCCTTAGCGGGAACCGAACCCGGGTCTCTCTGTACTGCAGGCCGACACTCCAACCGCTGAGCCAAACCGGCCAGGGCCAAATATGTGTTTTTTAAGTGTCATTCCACAGGAATGGAAACACTGCCAAGAGAGCGCTACTGCAGAAATATATATAAACATCCCTTGAGCTATTCCAGGAAGAAGGTGGAACAGGCCTTCATTCCCCCACTTCATGGATGAAGAAAGTAAGGCCTGGCATGGGCCACTGCCTGTGTAAGCTGCTCAGCTACCTCTGACCCAGGAGCTTCTCCCTACCTGCCCAGTGAGTCTAAGTTCCTATCAAATGCCACACAACAGAACTGTACAGGAAAATGAATTTTGTTCTGTAGCTATATAATAAAAATAATAATAATAAAGAACTGGAATCATCTATCAGATACTAATTTATGTTTCTTACATTATAATGGAGTGTACAGTGAAACATACAAGAAAGACATGCTTACTTGTGCTTTGTGCTATTGCAAGTGAGAAGAAACAATCACATTATCAAATACTTATATGTATTAGGAGATTTCCTTTCAACCAAAGCAAACAAACAAAAAAACTAATCCTCTTCAGTCAGAAAATGAGATACAGTGAGGACTCTGAAGAAGATGGCCCTGGGTGAGGCCTCAGCTTCACCCTCACAGCCTTGAGCAAGTGATTTCATTGCTGAGATCTCTCCACAGCTAAGAAGTTGGCAAGGAAACACCAACTTTTGGGGGTCATGAGAAGAACTTAAAATATGTTTAAGTTTGTGTGTTTTTGTGTGCACACACAGGCGTGCAGACATAATATAAACTTAGTACAGAGTCAGGCACACATTTTTCTGAAATAAAAGCATGTCTGTTACTATCAGTAAGTCGTCACAACTGACCTTAGAATTATGAATTTAAAAATGATGAGTCTCTGTTGGTAGGAACATAACAAGGTATTTTGGAAGGGGAGTTTGACATTTAATCACATCATTTCTACAGTCTCAATCTCTCTCTTTCTCCCCTGTATTATTTTTCTCTGCAGAAAAAAAGTCTCAGTATAAGGCTATGAAGAACATTCATTGTCTATACTACATATTTTTATAACAATTTTTTAATGAGCACTTAACATTTTTTGTAAACAGAAAAAAATACATTTTTATAAAAAATTATTTCTCCATTTCATTTCTTCTGATTTTAATTTTTTTAAATAATTTTTTTAATTATTGATTTTAGAGAGAAAAGAAGGGAGAGAGACAGAGACATCAATGAGAGAGAACATCGACCGGCTGCTCCCCTGCATGCACCCCACCAGGGATTGGGCCCACAACGCGGGCATGTGCCCTGATTGGGAAATGAACCAGCCCTGGCCGGTTTGGCTCAGCGGTTAGAGCGTCGGCCTGTGGTCCTGAGAGACCCGGGTTTGGTTCCCGCTAAGGGCATGTAGTTTGTCCCCTGCCCTGGTTGGGTCGTGTGGGTGGCAGTTTGTCCCCTGCCCTGGTTGGGTCGTGTGGGTGGCAACCACTCGACGTGTCCCTTTCACGTCACACGTCGATGTTTCTCTCTCTCTCTCCCTCCCACACTCTATCTGAACAAAAAATATCCTCAGGTGAGGATAAAAAAAAAAAAGGAAACGAACCAGCAACATCCTGGTACATGGGTCGACCACTGAGCCACACAGGCCAGGCTTCTGATTTTAATTTTTAAATGAATCTCACATACAATAAAAAGTTAAGTCCTAAATTATTTATCATCTTTGACAAGCCATCACTGGATGATCAGATCTATGGGGGATTTGTCTGTTTTAGTTACTGCTATATCCCTGACACTTCAAACACTGCCTAGTACATAGTTAATATTGATTAAATGAACACACTTAAAAGCTGACATTATTCCAGCTCTTCTACTGCTAAGAATTCACTATGCAAAAATATTTGCCCAGCCCTGGCCAGTTTGGCTCAGCGGTTGAGAGTTGACCTGCGGACCAGAGAGTCCTGGGTTCAGTTCCTGCTAGGGGCACATACTACAAAAACACACACACACACACACAAAAATATTTGCCCAATTGCACAAGGTAAAGAAGAAGACAGAATTCATGCAGAATTCACAACAGCAAAAAGCTACATAAATTTTTTTCAATAACACTGGTTACTGTAATATTCTGTCATTTATTATTATCATCATTTATTATTTTTTAATCTTCACCAGAGGATACTTTTCCATTGATTTTCAGATAGAGTGAGAGGAAAGGAGGGGGGAAGATAGGGAGAGGGGGGGAGGGAGGAGAAGGGAGGGAGGGAGGAGAAGGGAGGGAGGGAGGAGAAGGGAGGGAGGGAGGAGAAGGGAGGGAGGGAGGGAGGGAGGGGGAGAGAGAGAAAGAGAGAGACATCAATGTGAAAAAGACACACTGATTGGTTGTCTCCCCCACAACCCCAACCAGGGCTGGGATGGAACCTCAACTGAGATACATGTCCTTGACTGGAATCAAACACGCAACTCTTTGGCAGAGGGCAGACACTCTAACAGCCGAGCCAAACTGGCCAGGGCTATTCTGTCATTTTTAAAAGCATGAAGTTTTTAAAAAAGAATGGGTTGGATCTCTACATAGCAATATAGAAAGACATCATGTTAAGTAAAAAAAGCAAGCCTTAAAAAAAAGCAAGCCTTAGAACAATATGACTAGTTTCATCTAAGTTCTGTGTCTAAAAATAAATAGTAAAAAATTTCTGTTGTTTTAAGTTAAAAATATTTAGATAATAAATGTTTTTATATGTGAAAAAAATATCTGGAGAATACTACACCACTAGCAGTGATTTTTTTTCTCTTTTTTTTTTTGGTCTCAGTGAAAGGCTGAGGGACGTTCACTATCTGTAGTGCATATTTCTGTAATAGTTTTTTAAATAATGAGAACTTAATATTTTTTATAAACAGAAAAAGAAAGTTTTATGAAAACAGTCACTTCTCCATTTCACTGTTTTCTGATTTTAACTTTCAGATGAATCAGACATATAAATTAAATCCCAAAGTACTAAACTGAGGCCTGAAATGATGGTTTGCCAAAAGAAATGCAGTGCTAGTGCCAGAGCTGGAACTCAGGTCCCCTAATTCCCAATCCAGTGCTCTGCTCCTTCCTAACGCACAGAACAGGAGATATTGCAGAGGCAGCTGGGCTCTCTGGAACCATTAAAGTTCTTACAACTATATAGAAACTTCCATCAGGGGGAAAAAATAAGTTGCTTAAGAGTTAAACTCCTATTAACTTAAAATGTTCCATGAGTTTAACAAGTAAATGATCTGGGTTTGCCAAGAAGTTCTGATTTCAAATAGTGTATTTCCTAAGCACACATGGACTTACTCAGATCCTGATTTTCAAAGAGGATCAACCCAGTCATTGGCAGTTCCTAAAATTTCAGGTTCCCCAGACAACTAACATATCCTGTGGCTGATTATAAACTCATACCACCCAGGGATACTTACCTGCCTGACTCCTATTGGCTGCAGTCAGTGCTGCTATTTCCAGGTGCTTAAGTATATCCCTGGAGTTCCTTTTATCTCAAACCTGCCTGTCCTTTTTTTCACTGCTAGACTGAAGAATTTTTGAGAGTTAAGACCACTCTGAAGTTTTCAACACCACAACAAAACTGGAAGCTAATATTCCATTTTCTGAAATGCAAACCTGTTTTTTGGACACTTGAGGCAATGATTAAGCTACGTATCCAATGAAACAACTTTCTACATTAAGAGTATGGCAAACTCAAGAACTGACCACTCTCTCAAAAGGAAAATAAGAACTGCTTAGGACACAAAGAAAAGACAGTGATCCCTTCTGGGTTTTCTCCTTTCCCGAGACTTTTGGATTGTTTCCCTGATCAAGCCAACTCCACAAGTATTCAAATGGGATTTGTGTAGGCAGAACTTGTGAGTGGTTAATGAATCAATGGCTTCTCCCCAAACAACAGGAATTACAGCATTGCACAGTGAGGACCATGGATCCCAGAGGGTTAGTTAACTGCTCAGCGCAAAGGAACTTACCAGTTCTCAATGTCACCCTCCCTCCAAGACCCTCTCTTCTGATCCACAGAACCTCAATTCTGTGGTGGCAGCAAGGTGGGCTGTATCACTGTCCTTGAGGAGGAAACAGAGACTCAAGAAGTTAAGCGTCCAGCCAATGTGCCAAGATTCAGACCCAGGACCTTCCACTCCAGCCTTGTCTACCCTGGTACTATCACTACTCTCTAGTTTGGCCAAGCTCAGAAGGAAAGCTGCATGTTGGGGGTCCAACAGAGACAGTCACGTTCATTAAAATGGCCTCAATCTCCTCAGTATGGGTCACCAGCTTACACAATGGTGACCAACCAGTCTTAAAAAATAAAAAGCAAAAAGTCGAGGTCAAGTTCCCGCCGCCCAGGAGACCTTGCCCTCTTACTCAATAGCTCCCAAGAGCTAAGTAAAGATGTCAAGAATGCCCAGCAGAGCCCGACAATTTGTCGTAGCGCCGGCCAAGGCACCTGCCTGCGGCGACAAGCACTATCCCCCAGGGATGCCGGGGGCTCAACCACACACGGAGCGATTCCCAGAAGAGGCCACGCTGGCTGCCTCCCCTGAGCCCTAGACTGAACCCACCTGATATTGCTGGGTCGGATTCGGGTCCCATTCGCACTCATAGGGCGCCTCCTACGTGAGTTACCCACTAAACTGGCCGCCTCGAGGCCCATCGTACCAACGGGGAAACTGAGGATTGGAGAGGAAGTAGCCGAGCCCGAGGGTGGCGGCTCAGGCACTGGAGCCGGAGCTCTTTTACGCCAAGACCCGAGGGGCCCGTTCGGCGTCCTCGGCTGTAGAAAGGATGACCCCCAAGAGGTCAGCTCGTGGGGAAGGGCCACCCGGGTAAGAGCAGAGGTGGGAGCAGCGCTTTCCGTGCGACTGTCGGCTGAGACACTCAGCGACCCGGGCCGCGAGGTCGCCCCAGCGCCACCGGCCCGGGCGGTTGCGGCGACCATAAGGCATTGGGCCCCGGGGTTCCGGCACCCCGAGCCCTGGCGCCCGTACCTGATCAACCCCCTACCCCTGATCTCCTTCACTCACCTCAAGCCGGGGCCGCAGCAGTCTGGAATCCGAGCAGGACACAGGCCTGCACCACTGAGGTGCTACCACCGCCCGCGATGAACGCGGGGGTGAGGGCGTGGCCGTCAGTGTCCCCGCCCCGCCCAACAGGGCAGCGCACACTCTTCTGGGGCCAGGATTCCCCCTACGAAATCCGTGCTGTTGGTACGGGCCGGCCCGGCCACACCCCCTCGGCGTGCGGGCCGGTCACCCGGACCTGAGCGCTGGCTTCGGTTCCATCGCCGGCAGGACTCAGGGGCGGGACGTCCGGATAGGCTCCCTTACGCTTCCCAGGCCGCTGCCCACCTTCTCATGGGTCATCACGGGGCAATGGCTGTGCACCGCGCGGTGTAGCCTGCTGTGGGTCGCGGTTGACGGGTGTTCGCCGCTTTTTCTCCCCCTAGTCCCTCAGTTTCCTAACCTGAAACTGAGTGCACAGAAGGTCCAGGTCCCTTCCTCCTGATCTCAGATTGGAATGCAGGCCTGCTTGGGTAGGCGGCGGGAAGTGACCGGCAGGGGCGAGGACTGGAGGGACCAGAGGAGGTCGCCTTGGGTTGGAAAAGCCTGACTGTCTTGGTCCAGAGTAAAACTCCCCACTCTACCTTCTACTGCAGTTCCTATTATAGGTGTTGCAGTACCCTGTTTTGTCGTAAGGGCTCCTTGGGTCCCGCAGTTAAGTTATAGGTGTTGTAAGAATGTCCAAACCTAATTTATTTGAGCCGAACAGAGGATATCCTTGAAGCAAGATCTCATCTGACTAAAAAAACAAACAAAACTAATAAATGACAGTTGGCAACTTCTTTTATGTATTTAGAATTAAGGATGCGCCGATCTGATTACAGCAACAATTTTCAACCTTTTTCATCTCATCGCATACATAAACTAATTACCAAAATTCTGTGACACACCAAAAATATATTTTTTGCCTATCTGACCAAAAAAAAAATAGGTATAATTTTGACTCATTCACACTGGATGGCTATTGTTGTGTTAGCTGTTGTCATTTTTTAATTTGACAATCTAAGGGAAAAGAGGTCAGTGCCCCTGACTAAATAGGTATTGCATGTTTTAAAAATTCTTCCAGCACACCAGTGTGCCACCGCACACTAGTTGAAAATCGGTGAACAAGATTATGTGCTCCCTTGAGGGTGGTTATTGCTTTAAAAGGAGGGGTTTGAAAGGGACCATTTCAATGGTGTGTTCATCTAGCTGCACAGAAACAATATACAGGATTTCCTTAAGGCAACGATAGGCCTTTTACCAAAGAAGTTGTATATGCCTGAGGCTTGACTACCCACCATGATTTGCCCAGTTAGAAATTTATGATCAGATCACCTTGTGAGGTTACTTTCCATAGAACCTGTTTTTCATCCACATAGGGTTCTGAGGATTAGGTGATATAACTCCTGTTCCTGAAGTATTTGGCTCAGTGTGATAGTACTCTAGAAATATCATTGCTATTATTACTATTATTATTATTATTATTATTACAGGTTGTGCTATGAATTTCTTTTGCAACAGTGGGCAACTCACTTCATTCAGACTGGTTCTCATTTTTTGAAAATGGGACCAACCAACTGACAACCAAATACTTTGAAAATAGTAAAATCCTATATAGAGGGTAGCATTACCGTGGCCCCAGTTTCAGACTTCCTATAGCCAGGAACCAGTCCCTCCAACAGGCTTGATGAATGCAATAGCCTGCAAGATTGAGTACACGTATCCAACTAAGGGACTGAACATATAACTCCTATACTAGGTCCTCAAGAGAGTAGTGGGGAAATTAATCACCCAGATCTCTGATACTTCCACCTTTTCAACACCTTGTTGACCATCTCCCCTGAGTGTCCCAATGAGGTTTCAAACTTAGACTCTGGATCCTTGTACCCTACTCTGTGAAGCCAAAACTCATTCATAACACTGAGTGTTCTCTCTCTCTCTCTCTCTCTCTCACAACAGCTTCCCTGAGACAGGAAATAGGCATCTTCTTTTGCTTTCTCCCATTGAACCAGTAACAGAATTCTATCTCCAGGACCTTCCCACCCCCCCCCCACCCCATCTCACCCCTGCCCCCACCTTTTCACTAGGGCTGGCCCAGCCCTAGTTCAGGCCTACCTAGGTTGACCTTTCAACTGGATGATCTCAGCAGTTCCTGACTGCATGCTACCTCCAGTTTTGTCAGCACCCACTGTTAGGAAAACTTCCTCATACACATACTACTGTGCTCACTACCCTACCTTCCTGTTCCTTTACCTTCTTCCTCAAAACACACTCTCACTAGCCAGTTGGGAGAAAAAAAGAAAAGTAGGTGTATATACACCTCACAACTTACACTAATATAAATTCTTGATGGATAAAAGATTTAAATGATTTGAAAAAAGAAAGCAAGAAGAAAAATGAAAAGTCCTACAAGAAAGCATGGGAGAATTTGTGTTAATCTACAAAAGGCCTTTCCGAGTTATGACACAAACCCCAGAAACCATAAATGGGAAGACTAAGAAATCTGCCTACATGAAAGTTAAAACTTGTGTGACAAAGATCTACAGGCGAAAAAATAAATGACATACTAGGAGAAAATATTTGCAACTGTTAATAGTCAAAGTACTAGTTTCCCTAATAAAGAACTCTACTAATTAATAAGAAAAAGGCTGATTATCATCCTGTGTGTGGCTCAGTTGGTTGAGTGTCCACTCATGCACCAAGGGGTTGCCAGTTCAATTCCCAGTCTGAGCGCATGCCCAGGTTGTTGGCTCCCTCCCCTGTAGGGGGCATGCAGGAGGTAGTGTAAAGGACAAACATGCTATGTGACTGTACAGAAAGATTTTTCCCATTAGGCAGACCTCACCCCCTTGACTTTAACAATAGCCAGAACTAGCAGCCAGAGTTAATAGTTAACCATTATATTGTGTAGGTAACAATTGCAATTGTACAGACCAAAACTGCTTGCTCCCTCAGGCATAAAGGCTAACTGCAGATATCTGCTTCTCTACTTGCTTGCTTGCTTGCAAACCTTTAGCCCAATTTCTTTCTTTCTTTCTTTTTTTTTTTTTTTTATCATCCTCACCGAGGACATTTTTCCATTTTTTTGTTCAGGTAGAGTGGGAGGGAGAGAGAGGAACAGAGAGAGAGAGAGAAACATCGATGTGAAAGGGACACATCGAGTGGTTGCCACCCGCACAACCAACCAGGGCCGGGGACAAACTGCAACCGAGGTACATGCCCTTAGCGGGAACCGAACCTGGGTCTCTCTGGACCGCAGGTCGACGCTCTAACCGCTGAGCCAAACCGGCCAGGTTAGCCCAGTTTCTTAACAGGGGCTAAGACAACTATATAAGCAACCCACCCCCTGAGCTCGGGGCTGCTCTCTCCTCTGTGTAGGATGGGACAGCCGCAGCGCGAATAAAGCAGCTCTCTTAATTTGAACCCAGTTCGGAGTCTGAGTCTAGTCTGTCTCTTTGGTCTACAACAGTAGCTGATCAATGTTTCTCTCCCTCTCCCTCTCTCTAAAATCAGTAAGAACATATTTTTAAGAAAGAAAAGAAAAAGCCTGATTATCATAAATGGGTAAAAGATATGAATCATCAATTCACAGTAAAAGAAATCCAAATGGCCCTTAACCATATGAAAAGTATTTCCACCCCACATGTAAAAGAAATGCAAATTAGCCCAGTCAGTTTGACTCAGTGGGTTGAGTTTCCTCCCATGAACTGAGAGGCCCGGTTGGATTCTGTAAGAACAGGATGGTGCTGAGTAACCAGGAAGTGCAGGTTTATTGAGGGAAATACCTGCCAGGCTGCCTCCAAGTAGAGCCCAGCAGCCGGTTAGTACAGACTAAGGGTTTTTAGACTTAGGGCTGGGGTCTTTCCGAGAGTTGTTCTTGTCATCAGGCGGCTGTTTAGGTTTGGGTGGGGATTTCAGAACACTGTTCCACTTGGTGGGAGCAATAAGCTTTGGTTTCTTGGAATAAGGGGCTTGGGGCGAGGTTAAACAATACGAGGCTGGGGTTAGTAATATGGAAGCTAAAGTTAATAGATTCCTGGTCAGGGCACAAGGCCGGATTTCGGGCTTGATCCCCAGTAGGGGGCATACAGGAGGCAGCCGATCCATGACTCTCTCCCACATGGATGTTTCTCCCTCTCTCCCTCTCTCTAAAAAACCAATAAAAACATTTTTTAAAAAATAAATGCAAATTAAAACTTGGCCAAGATGTCATTTTTCACCTCTGATAATGATAAAAATCCAAAAGCTTAATGACACACTATTAGTAGTGGAGCTGTGTGGAAATAGACACTGTCATTTATTGTTGCTACATCCATACATGAATATCATCCAGCTATAAAAATAAAAACAACCAAAAAACAAATGAAGCTCATTGCTGATACTGAACAATCTCTGAGATAACTGATAAAAGAAAAATGCAAAGTAATGAACAGTAGGTGGGCAAGGGGAGGGAAAATGTACCTACAGTGTATAGCTATTTGCTTGTATGTGCATGACCTCTCTGGAAAGAAAAAAAAACACCTCCAGGTTTTTTGGTTGTCTCTAGAGGAGAATTGGAAAGAGAGGAGGTGGGAGTGGGGTGGGGGTGGGGAATCACTGTGTGCCCTTTGTATATTTCATTTTGTGCCTTATGAATGTTTTACTTATTCTGAGTTGAATACATAAATATGTTTTTTAATACCCAAATAACCTTGTCACTGGCCAAAGAACCAACTTTTTTACTAGCTTCCACTACCTAAAGAGGGACTGTATACTTCATTTTTCTTCAATCAAAATTATATATGTGTGGGCTTACAGAAAACAGTCTCCTGCCAGCTCCTTTGTTTATTCTCATCTTTGTTGCCCAGAAAGAATCACTCATT